ACACACACACACACACACTCACATGCACACACACACACGCACGCACACACACACATACACGCACGCACGCGCACACACACACACGCACGTGCACACACACACACACGCACACACACACAGACACATACGCTCACACACACACATGTGCACGCACACACACACACAAGCGCACACACACACACAAGCGCACACACATACACGCACGCACACACACACACGGACATACATACACAGACACACACGCGCACACACACACACACGCATGCGCACGCACACACGTGCGCGCACACACACACGCACGTGCACACACAGACACACACACGCACACACACACACGCACACACACACGCGCGCACACACACACACACACCCCCGCACGCACACACACGCACACACATACACACACACATATACACACACACACATGCACACACATATACACATACATGTACACAGACACACACACATGTGCACCCACACACACGTGCACACACATATTCACGCACACACACTCACACTCGCACACAGACACATACGCACGTGAGTAAACAGGACTGTATCATGTGAATGTAATTCAATTGCAAACTTCACCTTCTCTTGTCATAGTTCTTAGCCAGGTAGGACAGTAGGCTAAAATTCTCTTTTTTAATTCGCTCGTGGGATGTGGGTGTCGCTGGCTGGGCCTAGCATTTCTTACCCGTCCCTAGTTGCCCCCTTGAGAAGGTGGTGGTGAGCTACCTTCCTGAACCGCTACAGCCCATGTGCTGTGGGTCGACCCACAATGTCCTTAGGGAGGGGATTCCAGGATTCTGACCCAGCGACACTGAAGGAACGGCGATATATTTCCAACTCAGGATGGTGAGGGGCTTGGAGGGGTACTTGCAGGGGTCTGGTGTTCCCATGTATCTGCTGCCCCTTGTCCTTCTAGATGGAAGTGGCATTGGGTTTGGAAGGTGCTGCCTGAGGATCTTTGGTGAATTTCTGCGGCGCATCTTGTAGATGGTACACACTGCTGTGACTGAGCGTCGGTGGTGGAGGGAGTGGGATGTTTGTGGATGTGGTGTCAATCAAGCGGGGGCTGCTTTGTCCTGGATGGTGTTGCGTATCTTGAGCGTTGTTGGAGCTGCACTCATCCAGGCAAGTGGGGAATGTCCCATCACGCTCCTAACTTGTGCCTTGTAGATGGTGGGACAGGCTTTGGGGAGTCAGGAAGTGAGTTACTTGCTAAAATATTCCCAGCCTCTGAGCTGGTCTTGTAGCTGCTGTGTTTATGTGGTGAGTCCAGTTGAGTTTCTGATCAATGATAACCCCCAGGATGTTGATAGTGGGGGATTCAGTGATGGTAACACAATTGAATGTTAAGGTACGGTGGTTAGATTGTCTCTAATTGTAAATGGTCATAGCCTGGCATTTGTGTGGCACAATTATTATTTACCACTTGTCAACCCAAGCCTGGGTAATGTCCAGATCTTGTTGCATGTGAACAAGGACTGCTTCAGTATATGAGGAGTCGCGAATAGTGCTGAACATTGTGCAATCATCGGCGAACATCCCCAATTCTGACCTTATGACGGAGGGAAGGTCATTGATGAAGCAGCTGAAGATGGTTGGGCCTAGGACTCTACCCTCAGGAACTCCTGCAGAGATGTCCTGGAGCTGAGATGATTGACCTCCAACAACCACAACTATCTTCCTATGTGTCAGGTATGACTCCAACCATTGGAGCGTTTGCCCCCCAATACCCATTGATTCCAGTTTTGCCAGGGCTCC